ACCACAGGTTCAAGAACCAGTGACTTTAAGTTTGTGACATCATACAATGACAACACGCTGCCTGCTGACCAGACTCTGAAGAAAAGTCCATCAGACTTTACAGATGTGTTTGGAGATGGCGATATGTCTCCTAAGGTAGGAAGATATCGCATGTCCTATTTTCAATAACTGTACAGCTTGTAAATATTGGTTAATTTCAAAGCGTTTGGAGGCTGTGATACTTCTGCCAAATAAGGAAATTGAATATTTTCTTTTTTCTTTTTGATAAAACACTCATACTGAGCAGGTTTTTTTCGCACGTGGTTCTTAAACTTTGCTTTTAAATAAGAAACAGACCGCTGTACAAGTAAAAAATAGATACTTTCACTTGATTTTAATCCTCTGTTTCTTGATATGATCGTGTTTTTTCTTGTTAGTTTTTAATCTTGTACTTGTACCTTGATTTTCTTAACACTTACTTGGTGTGGTGTTAAGTTCTTGAGAGTTACGATCTGTCCATCATAACGTATTCAATAGAAGAGTTAAAAAAGTGAACTCTTTACTTGACAGGTTTCTGAGTATGTGTATGATAGTATTAAATTGAATAGTATTAAATGAAAAGTTTGGTTTGGCATTCTTTGTTCATTTTGCTCAAAGGCCAAACAAAAGATTCCCTTGGGCAGTTAAGCTGTTAAGGGTTTCTTAGAGGAAAGATCCCAAAAATGCTCTAATGTTCTTACTTATCACCTTCAGTATTAAACAGATTATCACACGTGCCTATGTCCTCTGTTGTCATCACATATCATCTTAGATCTCCTGCAGGACATTTAGTATATTTTAGACAGTTCCATCACAACAATAAATAAAAGAATAACTTTTGTAAAATATGTGTTTTCTGACAACAGAACAATTCTATAAACCTGTCTAATGAATGGCAGGTTTCGTTGAACTTATACTGTCGTTGAACTTATACTGTTGGTACATGTTGACTCAAGAGCTTTGAAACACAGTCTATGGTGTCTTGTTTTATTGTTTATTTGTTTATTTAATT